CCTGCAGTGGTTCATTGTTGAGCCAAACGCCGCTGTTTCGTTCTTCAACCCATTGTTGTGAAGGGGGTTGAAGTCTTCGCAACTGTACTCAGGTATCCTGGTTCACGGCACCAGTTTCGGAAGGACCAGAGAGACCGCAGATCTGATACATTTTCATTTATTGCTGACACAACGTGAATCTAAAAAAAAATATACAGAGCGTGCCCCTGGCCAACCTCTTCTTACTCGCCTCCGAGCTCGATTGATAGGTAGGGTTTAACGTCCCAAAACCACCATACGATTATGAGAAACGCCGTAGTGGAGGGCTCCGGAAATTTCGACCACCTGGGGTTCTTTAACGTGCACCCAAATCTGAGCACACGGCCCCACAACATTTCCACCTCCATCGGAAATGCAGCCGCCGCAGCCGAGATCCGAACCCGCGACCTGCAGGTCAGCAGCCGAGTACCTTAGCCACTAGACCACCGCGACGGGGCTCGCCTCCGAGCTCCAGCTTCAATCTATTTTCTACAGGTGTATATTAGTCCGCATGTAGCCCCTCTCAAAGTGGTTTCACTGCAGTAAAGGGGTGCTAAGCCATGAAAGCACCTTATCAAAAAAAAGAATCCAAACTGCCATGAAGTCCCACTTTAAGGTTAAGTGAACATATCACCCTCGCATCGATTCATCATTCTTCAAGTTTAAAAGCTTCTTATACTGGTTAATGTGCTCTAGATAGTACAGTAAAATTTAAAACTCAACATATTTGCTAGGTAATCATTTGCATTATACCGAAAGTCAAATCCTGCTACTATTCAAAGTTGTTTCTGTTTCCTATGAAGCAAAAAGAATGGCATTTGCACAGACCTTGTATCAATTTTTAAAAAGTACTGTAAAGTAAAGTTTAGTAATGACAAATACGTCTATATCTCTTTATAATATGTGATATATACTATTCAAATTCAATTCGAAATTATTAGACCAATATCACCATTCGTTTTGAATTCGATTCGAACCTGAAATTCACTATTCGTACAAGCCTATTTATGACATATCAGGTAGTGTCATGTACAGTGCTAGAAACAATTACCAACGGATGCAAGGGAGCATTGTTTTTCAAGTATGTAAATTCAATGCATTGTGTTTATAAAATAGCTGCTTATTAAAATATTAAAAGACTCTTATTAAAATGTTAAAAGACCCCTGACACCAAATTTGGAAACTCAAGATGCTTGTGTTGTTTGATAGCCCTGCATGCATAAGCACTTCCGACCGATTATAACTGGTCTTATGACTGGCAGAGCAGGATATAGCCCTGCAACAGACAGTCATCAGTGAGCCCTGCAAATGCGGTCTGCGTCCTACAGCAACGGGAGAGGCGTCCGTGTGCGCCACTTCAAACGCGCATCAGCATCGGACAAAAAGCGTGTGCTAGGACCGGGCGATATAAAAGGAGCGTCACGTGTGCGCGGAGTCTCTCTCTGTTGCCTTTCTTACGGCCGGTTGTGTCTGATATAAAGGTGCTTCTCGACGCCTATTGTTCTTGACAGCTGTACCTTGTGTGTTCTTCATGTAAGCAGCAAACCTCCCAAGAGTTCCTCCTGTCCCAGCGCCTAGGTGTCCACCTGGGCCCAACTCCTCGGTTACATCAACTGGTTGGTAGCGGCGGGATTCGTTTGAATCCAGTTCGTGCTTTTTCCTGGTACTGATGCTGGTGAGTGCTTGCTTTCCATAGGGTTTCTACAAGGTGTTTTAGATAGATGGTGATGTTTATCCAAAGGGGTAGATTGGTGACTGCTTCGTAAAGACTAGTGTTTATTAGAGGTACCTTCAAGCAGCTTGAGCAACAGAAGTCTGCGCTGGGTGGCCATGGATTCGAAGAAGTTAAAGAAACCAGATTTACTGCGAGGGTACATAGGAAGCCGCATTTAATACAGGCAATTAATGATTCTGGCAACAATGAGGAGAGAATTTGCGATAGTTGGGAGTTCGTACAGGCCAGGCATAAGGAAGCCGCATAACAAGAGCGGCTTTCGCTTGAGAGAGAGACCACCAGACGGAAAGAGGAAGCTGCAGCTCATGAAAGGAGAATGGAATAATTGAGGCTTGAGCTTCGGATTATCTTGGCGAAATGTGCCGGTGGTCAGGATACACTAAATGCAGAGATTCACGACGGAACAGGCGCAATAAACGTGCTACGCACGGCTTAGCAAGCTGGTGAGTGCAGCGTTCGTCGCCAGTCGGAGTTAACAGGTGTGCCAAGCATGGCAGAATGCCAGGATGACTCGCTCATGAACAAAGGTTTTTCTCTGCTTAGGGCAAATGCGATATCTTTGAGCAGGAAGAGTGTGCACATGCACTCATCAAACCAGAAAGCATACAGCCGGTGATGCTATCGTCAGCAGATAAGAGACGTGGATGGGCATGGGCAGGATAGCCAAACTGGAACTGTCGGTTGGGTAGCATACAATGGTAAAGCAGAAAGTGTTGAATCAAAGGTTCTCTCGTCTATATATAGTGATATAAATGGGCAGGATGGCGAAAATGGAGAGATCATTTGTGGGAACAGCAATAATAAAGCCGCAGAAAGTGACATACAGGATAATGGACTGTAAATGCCTGGCTATATAACTGGCGTAGACACCAATCTATTTTCAGTGGTGTCTCAGGTTGCAGCATGCACTTCCTCAAAGGTCATTAGTATCTTAGATTTCGAGCCAAAGGTAAGTGTGTGCGTGCAGGTCAGGGTCGTTTGGACGCTCCCGTCTGCATGCTACTGGAGGGATATGCTTCAGTTTGGATCGCCTGGTTTCTGCCTCGCGGATAAAGCTTCCGTGAAGCTTCACGGTGTTTTCGTGCGGATTTCCAGACATGAGTCTAAAATAACGCTCTTAAAATGAGCATTTTGTTTAGGTTCTGTTCAGCACATGAATGAATTCCGTCACATGGTTTGGAATGCGATCACCTGAGCCCTAAGTTATTTAACTGGTCACCACCACAGTTTAGGCTTCCGTTGTGCAAAAAGTCAAGAAGCCTTGAAGATTGTTGACACCTGGTGGATCTCGGGAAAGCTGAGTGTTCTCAGTGTTGGTATTGGGTAGAGCGCGTCCCTTCCCACCAGGCAGAATAGAAATCCAGCAATGCCTGCCGGTCCAACAGCATGGCAAGGTGTACTGGAACTAGCCTCTGCGAACTGCTGACTTTTTCAGCTATGTGTTCCACCTTTGACCATGCCGGGCAACCCAGCAGTGGTGACCAGGCCACGGCAGCTGTGGAGCTGCATGCTGGAACCCAGCAGCCTTTGGTGTGCTGTCGATTCTGGCGACGCCAAAATGCGCTTGTTGTGCGACCTGCTTTGTGCTATTTGTGTGTGTTGCAGTCGACGACCGGTGCGACGGGTATGAACAATCGCTACGGACCACGTACAAGGGTCGCCCAGAGAGCAGCGGTACTGCAGCCCTTACGTGACCTCTTCGGGCAGCCGGCGGGCTGTTACGACTGGCAGAGCAGGACATAGCCCTGCAAGAGACAGTCATCGGTGAGCCTTGCTAACGCGGTTCGCGTCCTGCAGCAACGTGAGAGCCATCCGTGTGCGCCACATCGAACGTGCATCGGCGTTGGACAAAAAGCGCGTGCTCGGATCAGGCGATATAAAAGGAGCGTCACGCGTGCTCGGATCGGGCAATATAAAAGGAGCGCAAGTCTCTCTCTGTGGCCTTTGTTATGGCTGGTCGTGTCTGATGTAAAGCGTCTCGACGCCTATTGTTCTTGACAGCTGTACATATGTAAATAAATTTGTGTGTTCTTCGTGGGAGCAAGACGCCTCCGAAGAGTTCCTCCTGTCCCGGTGCCTAGGTGTCCGTCTGGGCCCAACTCCTCGGTTGAATCACTGATGAATGCTGCCATTAAAATATTTTAATTTTAAAATATTTTTTAAAGTAAGCATGAGTGCTCATTTGAGCTTTCAGCATTTCGCGAAATCACCACTAGTTTTACTTAGAGGCTCCTTTTGTAATTCCACGAAAAAAGCGACAATCGTCTATGTCACAGAACATTCAAGAAGTGTACACGAAATCACGACTGACAGCCAACAAGGGTTATTGTTCCTTGCCCCCTCTCGCTCTGTTATCGGGCTGCTCTCAAGGTTGTTTTGGATGCTGACGCCAGGTATGCTTTTCTTTTTCCTGAGGGAAGCACACTCAAAGCACACAGATTGCTTCATTGTTCATTGTGCACGGGTCTCTTGATTTGAAAGCTGCACGACTCATGTCACCAAAGCTTGAGTGAACGTGGTCTCAGGTGCTCCCCCACTGTGCAGCGCTAGTTCCTTGCGTTTTTAGGTGGGTGTTTTGAAGTGACACTAGAATTGGTGACAATTAATGAAGCTAGCCTTAATTATATGACATGTTCAAGCATTTACAATTCAATTTCGGTATTACCAGACACACGCGTACAAATTATTGCAAAATTGTCAGAAACGAAAAATTCACAGTCGGAGTTTGTTTAACAACTCTTGGCTAAATTATGCATTAATAACCTGAATTCAAAAAACTAAAAACAAAACAACAGCAATTCAAGGTGCACTGCTGTTGAAAACTAGTTGCTATGAACTCTTAGATAAGCACACAGTGGATACAGTAGGTTCAGTTCGACACAAACATGAAAGCAGCTTAAAAGGTTGCATTGCAATATTTGGCTAAAATGTCTTTGAACTTATATAAACGAAGTAAACCCCTCAAAGCATGCATATATTCAGGCGATACAGCTTACAGAAGTATGAATATCGTTTTTTTTTTATTTCTCAATTTCCTAGCTTATCCTTGCCTATCAAGGTCCAGGACATCCACTCAAAGATCTAACTCAAAAATAAATTTGAAAATGACATGCTATCACTCCTTGAATAGAAAAAGTGGTGCAACAAAGTCACTTTAGATTCATAACAGTACCACATGAATTGCACCTCTAAGCAAAAGCTGCCCACAAGGCTCCCATTGTACTACAAGAGAAGACAAAAGACCCACTGCCAAGTCATCTTGTGCAGAGGTGCTGCCAGCCAAGCTGTTCTCCTCATCAGGAGGCAGACCAGCCATCTTAGCCAACACGAACTGGCCACCCACAACAGGCACCAGTTGCAGAGATGGGCTGTCGGCCTGCTCTGCCATCTGGTCCACCAATACGAGTCCTGGCAGGCTGTCCCCTGCTGTCAAGGTAGTCCCAACACAAAACTCGTGATGGATTCACTTGCCTATTTGTGCCTCCAATCTTATCTTAACATTGGCTACTGCCTTCAACGTACATAATTTAGGGACAGTGCAGCCAAGCAACTTACAATATATACACTTACTGAAGTAAAAAAAGAAAGTAGGCCGCAATAAAATGCCATTTTGAACAAATCTCTTGAATATCGATCATGCACACAGGTAGCAAACAAAATGCCAAGTTTTTCACATTATGTGAATTACCTACCGAGGGTGAATGCTCTCATATGTTCCCAAAAAATGTTTATAATGTAATTATTACCTAATCACTTCACTATGTTATATTGTATCCAAAGAAGCTCAATAAATTGATTGATTGATTAATTAAGTAAGCATTAACACAGTATGCTCATATTTTTCTACCCCGTGTGCAGGAAAATCTGCCAACATGAATGTGCCCATCTACCAACTTTCTGACATAAAAGTCTGGGTCCCCCTAGCAAAACTCTAAGTGGATGATTGATATATGGGGTTTAAAGTCCCAAAACCACCATATGATTATGAGAGACACCGTAGTGGAGGACTCGAGAAATTTCTACCTCTTGGTGTTCTTTAACGTACACCCAAATCTGAGCATACGCGCCTACATTTCTGCCTCCATCGGAAATGCAACCGCCGCAGCCAGGATTCGATCCGGCGACCTGCGGGTCAGCAGCCGAATACCTTAGCCACTAGACTACCGCAGCGGGGCTAGCAAAACTCTCTTGTTTGTGGACAGCCACACGCTTTGGAATGCCCAGAAATTTTAAAACCTTAAAAAGCAACATGCCGAAATTAACAAAAAGAACATAAACATATAGAATAGAGCATGGTCTTTAAAACTGGAATGAAGCGAATATGCATTCAGTGTATTGCAGGCTCTCTAAACTCTAAAAGCTAATGGATGGACATTTTATCATAGTTGGCATTTCATAAGCAGAAAATTCGCGGTAACAATGCCGCTGGTTGTTTTTCAGGTTTCGTTGTCACACCGCTTTTCTTCTTTAACGTGATAATATATAAGTGGTAAAGGTCAGAGAATAAAAATAATAAGGCTGTGTTCAAAACCAGTCACCACAGCTTACGAACATATGGATTAAACATATGAGTTAGCGTTAGAAAAAAATACTGAAAGGTTTCTATCGAAGTGAGTTGGCAAATGTGGGACAGGAAGTGTAACTAATAGCTTAGGTTTGGTATTTCCGCACAAAAATCGCTCAACTAATGTTTAATCGACTAGTAGAAGTGCGCAATTATCTAAAATTTTGAATAACGAATAAAATGGTCTTCTGTTCATTTTGGTACTCAGATTGAATAGTGCATGTTATAATACTGAATATTTTTCAAATAATGCTAATCTCAAAGAAACAAAACCTCAAAAAAGAGAACGGTAACATTCATTTTAATTATCAAATTACCAAAATGCATGCAGCCCAAGGTTTTACGGGACTATTGGTGCTATATTAACTACAGGATGAAGGCGTTTTTGCATCAAACACCAGTGTCACCAAAGTGGCACAGTCATCAACTCACTATCTTTATCATGAGTCCATGACATTCATGATGACATTGACTCATGAATGCTTATTGGGTTACAATGCAAGATCGACGAAGATGGAAGGGACACAGACGAGCACTGACTCGCAACTGAAAGTTTTATTCGAAGAGCACAAGAATATGAATGTAATAAAAATATAAAAAATGGAAAAAGAAGCATATCAACATTGTGCAGAAGTGTTTAAAAAGAATATAAAAAGTTACACAGCCTATCACCTAACGGCACATGTGCCAAGAATATTTGCGAACTGTTTGTCCGTGAGATACATTGATGCCTCACTGACACATGCTTTATTTAATTGTTTAACATGGACTGCTTCTATCACTTCCCTAGTTCACGCTGTACCTCATAATGTGGCCGCACCAACTAGCCCAACTTTCAATACTATTGCGACTCATGAATAGTTTTTAATATTTACATATAAACTTATTTGAGAGCTCTTGACAAAGTTCTACTTTGAATAGTATAATACTTCCTGCATTTCATCCTGCAATTACAAAATATCATTAAGGCTGTAGTTGCTGCTGTATATGAGCTCACCTCAGCTGAAAAATGTGGCTTTTTTTTTTGTCGGTTAAAAGTAATAGCAATGTTCTTTTGCAGAAGCCAGTGATTATTTGTTTCAAATAAAATGTAGAATTCTTGGGCTGCTCCAAAGGTGATACCCTATCACCTCGGTCAATTAGGATGAGGCCAGATGGCTCAGTCTTATGCCTGCAAATTTCCAACTTTAGTCACATTCAATAGTGCTCTCCCATCCCCAACTGTATTCTTTTTTTTTTTTGACACTAAATGTGTAAATATCAAACTGTGGCTGCCCCGCCACGGTGGTCTAGTGGCTAAGATACTCTGCTGCTGACCCACAGGTGACGGGATCGAATCCCAGCTGGCTGCATTTTCAATGGAGGCGAAAATGCTGTAGGCCCATCTGCTCAGATTTGGATGCACGTTAAAGAAACACAGGTGGTCGAAATTGCTGGAGCCGTCCAAGCAGCGTCTCTCATAATCATATGCTAGTTTTGAGACGTTAAACCCCACATAACAATCAATCAATCCATCAATCAATAAAACTGTGGCTACCTGCCCGGTACATTACACATGGCCACCTCAACCCAACTTATTTCTTATGATATCAACACCACTGTCACTTAGCATCATTCACTTTGCAGTCTTCAAAAACTTAAGTTTCATTGTTAACCTACAAGTTTCTGCCTCACTTGTCAGTACTGGAGGAATGTAATGACTGCTTTTTCTTGCACATTAATAGTGAGAAGCTGCCATCACGGCTTGGTAATGCTTCTAGCACACACACCAAACCATTTTTACCCTTCTGTAAATATACTCTTTGGACCAATTCTTAACACTGACTGCCAATCACAAATTCTGCCTTGGTCACCATGATGAAAAAATGGGCTTAGCTGCTGACCCAAAGACTGCGGGGATCAAGCCCAGCACCATGATGGAGGCAAAATGATAGAGGTCTGTGTACTGTTAGATGGAAGAACTCCAGGCGTTCAAAATTTCCAGAGCCCTCTACTACAGCGTGCCACATAATCATGTCACAGTATTAGCACAGAAGAGCTTAGATAGAAATCATGATGACAAATTCTGCTCTCTTGCCAGGCTACTGAACCAATAACTTCGATGTCACTCATCGAAAAACATTTTTTTCCAATCTCGTGAAAGAATTTCTATCAATTAACCTTCTCTGTTCGAACTCGTAAAAGACAGCAAAAATATTGAGCAACAAGTTCATCTAAAATCTCATTAAAGAATTTCTATCAATTAACCTTCTCAGTTTGAACTCGTAAAAGACTGCAAAAATATTGAGCAACAAGTGCATCTAAAAACACAAAATTTAGCACCTTGAACAGTCCTGCTATTTACTATATTCAAGCAGTAAGTCTTCAAAGTACAATTTTTATATTACACATTGCACGAAGTGTTTTCTGCAGGCATGAAACTCTGAACCAAAAATGAAATGCAAGAAAAACTTAGAGGCTTGCCAATTTGCACATAACACATGTCGTGGTTGGGCATGAGCACTAAAGCCACAGTGCATTATCACAATCATGGATAGCCTTTTTTTTTTCTAAATATATGACCGAAATTCTCCTGACGCTTCCTGAAAACAATTCAAAGTGCTTGCCACTTTGCAAGTACTTTAAAGTGTTTCAACGACAAATTTACGTGAGAGATATGCGCACATCACGCACGTTCTTTTGCAAAAAGAAAGATCAAAGACATAATCACCATTCACTGTGACTTGAAATGACGAAGGTGGGTCGTCCGCCATCCTCCTAGAATGAAAAATAGACGTTGTTCGGTTCTGAGAATCAGTTGGCAATCGACCTGTTGCGTTTACTTGGATCGGCGCACACATCCGAGCGATATGTGCCCAGAAACGATGAATAATATAATTTTAAAGATATTGCGTAGCTCACGTTCCCACACACAAAAGAAAAATTTTTTTAATGTACACTGCACACACGGCAGTACTGAATTATTTTTATCGTTCACTTTTTTAGCAGAAAAACTTCGCAGACGCTGCGTACACATGCATTATTAAGGGGCGCGCATTTACACTATTTCAATGCGAGAAACATGCAGCTTTTTATTTCATATAGCACACACATTTTTCTTGAGCGAAAGTAAGAATGAGATGGCAACACGCAGTGAAGAACTGCTCCGGAATTTACTATGACCAGAAATGGAGGGAAAACGATTACATCCAGCTTTGTTTTGTCATCTACCGTGCCGTGCAGTTGTTCAATTCATTGGATGATAAAGAAAAACTGCCGGAACGGTGAACATTCGAAAGTTCATCGGGAGAGAGAGAAATAATTGTTTTCTCAATTTTCAAAAAGTGTTGCACAAGATGGGCCACGAAGAAGCTCCACGGCAACGTTAACAACAGTACATTCAGGATTTTTCTACTAAGCGAGTACAACGTTTATGACGAAAGTGCTTATATTTAAAGCCCATCTTTTGCAGCAAAGTGATGAGGAAGACAACGATCGCCTAAGCGAAAGAAGCGCAGTAACAGCAGACGAACCGCCTCTAATAAGTAGTTCAAACAGTTAGAGCACCGAAGTGTAAAAGTTAACATGAGGCCGAGGCCTAAAATTAATCGTCATGATTGTGATGACACGACAGCGAAAGACACGTAAACTAAACTTCTTTCAGAGTAGCAAATATTTTCAGCGAGAGCGGCACAACCAGAAACGAAAAGTGAGCGCCCCGCAAAATCTCAAACGAAATCACGTACCTTCTCGATATCGCGATAATGGCGTCTCTTCTCGCCGAATTCGAGACGAGTAAGAATGACGTCACAACACCCAGTTTTACGTTTTCAATAAATAAGCTTTGCATGAGTAAGAAGTTAAACTTTAAATTTTATAAATTAGAACTGCGAGTAGCCTTCTGGTACTTCAAATTATACTTTCTAATAAACCATGCACGAATTTCGAAACCGAAACTGGCGTTGCCCAAAGATGCAGTTACAGAACGCAACTCTAGGTGCAGGGTCGGGCTTCAAGACAGGACTTAACTGCCCGCCAAGTTCTCATACAAATTGAAGAAAAAGAGCGTGCGTCAACGACTTTAAAGCACTTGGCCTTATGCGATGCAAGCATTTTTTTTTTTTAAGAATTTAACTAAAGACAAATCAGGTGCTAGTGTTCAGGATCCTACAGGAGTATCATGGGTAGCTCATAAATTAACTACACTTCGTACTTCCAAATTCAACCAACATTAAACACTGTAAATTCACCACCGATAACAAAACTTATTAATTATAAAAACGACTGCAATGCTTTTTCATATGAGCAAATGCTTGTCACATTAATGCAATGCCATAGCTTAGCAGTTACATTTTTTTTTATTACATTGTGTTTACATCACATTAACATCAGCATTCACAATCATAAAGATTAAACGCATGCTATGCAAGTTTCCAATGTGTTAACTTAATGATCACGACTCAAGCTTTCTCAAGTAATTTATTGGAAAATATTTCTCACACATGCTAGGTTCATTGCAAAGACGGATTTTGAAGTATAAATTGGTATTTTCGAGGTATCAAGTGTGTATCACGCATTTTGTATGCACATAGCCGATATCACTTTTGAAAGAGTGATGCGAATTGAATGTATTGTTTTATGCCAGTATAATAAAACATTTTATTTAGATTTAGTACAGAAACATACCCTTCAGAACAACAGCCACACTACTATATGCAGCAAGAATAACAAGTCAAAAGAAGTGCTTTTAATGAGTACAAGGCGTGTTAAGGAAAAACAACATGGCTATGATATATCTGAACATGAACAACATGAACAAAACAGATTGACATTAGAAATCAGCCAAAAAGATACATCTGTATACTGAATTCACAGACTAATCAGTCATGCACATACTATGGCAGAATACACATTAGTAACCCCAGCAAATTCCTTTCTGTTCCTGCATTGTTATAGAAAAAGTCCACACACTATTACAAAAATATGGCAGTGGTAGACTATATTACCGAGGTCACCCTAGTCAATACAACCAATCAGGTTTTTGTTGTATCTTAAAACCAGTCTGACACTCTGAAGAAATTATTTGTCCATCCAGGATTGCTTATAATTGCACTTGAACACATGCTATTTATATGCTGCTTTTAATATGTGCAATTGTGGCAGCTGGGCATCAAACCCACTATTTCTTGATCAGCAGAACCATTCAGTAAATTGGCTATTCTAGTAAGTATGACAATGCATTCTTTTTATATTTACAATCCAATTCCTCATAACAAAAATCATTTTTAAAATTATGTACAGCTTTTAAAAAACTGAAATATTGTTGCGTGAGGTTCATTTTCACAACTGGTATTTCACTGAATTGGTGAAGATGATTGCCAAAAAAAAAAGAATGTAAGAAAGAAAAAAAAACTAAACGAAAGATAATCCTTTTGCAACGTTTACTGTAGGCCATTGGTTCTTAAATAGGGGTCTGCAGAGCCATTCCTAAGGTCCGCGAAACCCTCATCTCCTTTCTTTACATTTTTTTTACATATGCCACTATGTTTAAACGAGACTGTGCTACGTACTGATGAACTGTCCAAAATGAAGTGATGTGGCACATTTTTTTCATGTTTTTGGTAGCGTTTTTGGTAGCAACAAAAGGCACCTGTTTCATGCTCCAGTCGTGTTAACTTACCTACGTACTCCCCCTCCCTCTCCTTCGCTGCAAAGGGTCCCCCATCACTTCCACCAGTCCACAAGGGGTCCCCGACACACCCGTGGCTGAGAATAATAGCTGTAGGCATCCGTTCACAAGCGCAGCGCGCCGCACACGTTGTCATAAGTACATTTTTAAAACTGATTGTTGGAACTTGGCATCAGAAAACTATAGTATGATTATAAGAGACGCTGTAGAGAAGGGCTCCAGAAATTTCAACGATCAAGGTATTTTTAAGTAACATGCAAATCTAATCACAAGGGCCTCTAGCATTTTGCCTCCATCAAAATGTGGTTTCCAACAGCCGGAATTCTATCCTGTGACCTGCAGGTCAGCATTCAAACACCATAATCATTATACTATTACGACCATTACCAGTGTGTATATTGGTAATCTCAATCACTTCGAAACACCACAACCCTTTTCTTTCTTGAAACCCAGTACCCCGCTATAAGACGGGGAAGGTGGCTGAATGTGCAGGTCTTCCAGCACTAGGGGCATGCTGAGTAAATGATGGTGATTCACATGCCTCCTGACAAATGCCAGCTGTGCACTGCAGGCCATGGTTTTGCCTCCCTCACGTTGGTTATCATCAGTGGTGAGTCAGGACACGTCTTTTAATAATAGGAAAAAGGTGCTTTAAACCACATAGTAACACCAGCTGCAAGTTATGCAAGCAAATGTTTTCGTTATTTGTGGTCCCAAAAGATGAAGTTCGCCTGTAACTTTGGAGGCATGCTATTCTATGAAAGTATGAGATCCTTCAAGTGCCAGATTATGCATGCGAGAGACATTTCAGGCCTGGTTTTGTCTGAAAGACCTGAAATGCAGGGTATAATAGCAAGATTTTTGTAAATACTGCACAATTAGCATGTTTGAGTGACAACGCAGCAGTGAGGCATTGATCATTCACAGTTGTCTGGCAATCCTCTCCAAGCAAACAAAACATTGGAAGAGACCAGCTGTTAGACAGCCTTCTTAGATTCCTATGCAAAAGGATGTTCATCATAATGATAGGGCCAAGAGCATTCAAGAAGCCAATGATCTCATTGACAGTGACCATGATTGTGGACAATATTCAAACTCCGATGCAGCCCCCCCTCAAAGCTGACGCTTCAGAAGCTAATTAGTCAACTGTGGCGACAAGTTTTTAACAAACTGTTTCAGGTGCCAGAGCCTGTGGTTCTTCCATCCCAGTGGTTCTTCCGTCCGTATCCTTCTATCACAGGCAGGATATGGACAAGATAAGAAACACCCCTTTTATGAAGATGGCGTGGAGCACAAGCCCAAAGTTTTATGCAATGACCACATGAGCCATCAGTGTGGCAGAAAGAAAGAAGTCACTTGGCCGCAACAAAGGTTGTTGACATTAACCAGAACATGCAGATGCTGCACTTGTGATGAGAACGTGCATACACATGGATGAGTTTCAAGAATGACATAGGCACAATCAAACATGCCAAAATGTTTCCGTAATGTTCACATGAGATGTCTATCTGTGGAATACATGAGTGTATCCACTGGCATATCTCAAGAGTGCATCTGTCAATACATTTGATCAATGGCGATACAAAAAGTGCTTTCTTTTTGTCCACAAAAAATCAGCACATGCAAGTGATAGAAGTCTGTCTGACACACTTCAGATTCACCAGAAGAGGGTGACCAAGTGCAAAAATGGAACCAGAGCAACTAACATTTTCGCTTCAAATCTGTACCAAATGGCGACAGCATGCTTCGTTTCCACAGAAAGGAATGCATCGAAAAGACCTAAGGAATGCTTGATGAAACATGTGGAAGTTCTCAGTGAAGAGCTGAAGCAGGCCCAAGTAAAGATGAAAAGAACATCTACTTAATTAAGCACTCAATGAAAAAAACTGGAGGTACTGAAGCTGCCTTTATCTCAGGTGGAATTAATTCAGGAATATGCCTAAGCTGCCAGATGGTGAAGCTAAAAGAAAAGATGGTACACTGAGCACTGGATTTTCATGTGCCTGCATTCGCCCATCCGGTAACTTATTTCTGAGAGATAATGAGATCTTGTTGAAGCCTTGTGTGACCACAGCACGGAAGTATCCGTCAATGGTGCAGAACAAATTTGGATTTGACTGTTTCTTTGCAGCCTTCAAGAAAATGATAGCCAAAAGTCTAGCTCAACTTCATGCCATCTCGGTATTCGACGAAATTCAAATAAGGAAAGAGTTTTGGGGAAACGCTAAAACAATGACATATCCAGTGTTTGTGGACTCTGGTGAAGTGGCAAGCTCTTCAAATAAATTTGTAGATTACGGACCGGTGTTTACATTTCATGCATTCGGTAACAGCCAATCCTAGCCACTCAGAGTCTCCGCAAGCTAAGTACTGACAAGAAGAACAGTTTTCTAACAACTATTAGTGAAAGCTATTCGGTTGCTCGAGAGTGCATGAGCGTTCGTTGATGCCATTGTGTGTGATAGAGCCCTATACGGGGCATGCATAAACAGTTGTCTCTACGTTGATCACTAATGTGCACGAAACACTAATTTGTCTAATCTCTGGACAATGAGCGCAAAGAAACATGAGAAAATTCTGGGAGCCCTATTGAAGATATTTGCAGTAACATGCTCAAGCTTAGTTTCATTGCGATTGAACGAGCTTGCCAGCTGGGGGCCTTCACAGAGGAGTGCATTAAGCCTATCGTGGCAACCTTCTCAAGGTGAAAAGCCAGGGAAAGTGTTATGCATAATGCTTACAAATTTAAGAACACTTCTTTTAGTGTATCCGAAGGTTTCAGTCATGCTGTTCGCAAAAAACCACAGCTTCTTTGGAATTATGCGAGGGAAAAGAGAGATAGCAAAGGATGCAGAGTGCACCTTAACTATGATAAGCTTGTTATAACAGAAAGGCGTTCGTGCGGCACATTGAAATGAACAAACCCATCCCCCTTCATGCCCATGCGAGATCTCAAGAAGCCGACCGACGTGACGTCAGTCATTACAGAAGCGGGAGAATCGATACTTCCAACACATGCAGGCATATACCTCTGCTTCTTGTGAACTGTCAAAGTATTAATAATAAAGTTGACGTGTTTGTGTCCCTT